ATTCACATTCGAAACACCAACGAATGATATTTCCAGTTTTAGTATCCATATCTCGCCGCTCTTTTATTGGTTTAAACTCATTTTCTTTTTCATAACATTCAAGACTTGTTTCAAAAGAATCTCAAGAAGGAAAACTAGCACCTAAAGTGATTGTTCGTACAATAATTCCTGGGTCTTCAGAATCACTAGTACTTCCAGACCTGGTATCATCAGAGTTCAATGTAATACATGATTCATAGATAAAATCGCTGAGATTAACATAAGTTGGTGAAACAGATAAGATTTTATTTGCTTCATCGGTATCATTTCGCTCTTTTGAAAGGTAAAAGTAAGTATATGTTTTCTTGCCAATAAATAGTCACTTACATAAAACAGATAAAATCATATTTACTCACCCATCATTCTTTTTATTTGAGAATTGCAAAGCCACGTTCTTGGTGGTAGAGATGTTAAACCAAAGCGTATTATTAAACAACATTAAGTTGTGTTTGTTGAATAAAGTTATTAATATCAGGATTCCACTTGTCCGGATATAAAATTCTTATACGTTGGTGGTAGTGTTGGTGGGAAAATGCCGAACCCAGAACTCCCAATAAGATACTTTATGTTGTAAATTTATTAAAAGAAGTTACGCCCAGATGATGATGGCAGTAGGGATACTGTTCTAAAGACTTCTTGGAACACACCTTAACTTAGTAACTTCGCTCACTAAAAAAACAGCAGTTTCAAGTTATGTTTATTAGATAAAGTCATTAATATCGGATTGGTACTAGTTCAAGTATTTGTAATTATATAACGGATATAACGATAAAGAATAAGTTCATTTACCTTTATTAAGAGAAGATCATTTAACTACTAATCGTAATTTGATTGGCCATTAGTTGACTATATATACTACGGCATATCACGTGACTGGCGATATCACATTGGTGAAAAATACTAATATTGTAAAAATTAATGTTTTTAAAATCAAAAATTTTAAATTAACTTTTTAATTAATATTTTTTTAAACAACTTTTTTAAATTAATATTCTAAAGAGTTGATCTTTAGTATAGGTAGGCATATATGATTTTTATATAATTATAATATATATAAATTAACTATTTTGAATTAATTTAAATAATTTTATTAATTGTTAAGGTTAGGGTTAGGATTAGAATATAATTTGGTTCAAATTATATAGATTATATATATTATAATTTTGTAATAATTTATATATACCCACTTATATTAAAGATCTTTTTAAAGATTATAACTAATTTCACTCTAGATAATATCACCCAGTATTATAAATTTTTAAAATTTTTATTACAAGTAAAATAAATAAATTTAAGGTTAGGAGCTTCCAGAAATCAGCTGATTTCAGGGTAGGTGGGTGGGTTAGCCAGTATATCAAGTATAATTCTGGCTAGAATTATCAATTTTTAGACAAAATTAAAAAATATTTTTAAGCTAAATTATAAACTTATTAATAATTAATTATAAAATTTTAATTATTAATAACTTT